GGGTTTAGGGTTTAGGGTTTAAGGTTTCGGGGTATAGTATTTGATGACTTATGACTGTGACCCAGAACCCCGGGAAGATCTAAAAAGTAGATCCCCTAATTTGGGACCCTAACTACTAAAGGGTACTTTGTAGGAACCCCCTTAGGATCTATTTTTTAGATCCTTTTGGGGGTCTGGCTATTCAGACCTCCAGGACTCCACCATGTTGGGGCCTTAGCGGCCTCAACCCTAAGCGCCACAAACCCTAACCCCGAAACCCAAAACCCCGAAAACCCTAAACCCCTAAAGCCCTAAACCCCCAAACCCCAAAACCCCAAAACCCTAAACCCCAAGACCCCCTTAGGATGTACTGTTGGGGGTTTACTTGGTTGAGGGGCACCCGATCTCTTTGTCTCGGTCCGGGTTCGCCTACTTTTGCCCGTCATTGGTTTAGGATTCGGGGTCTAGGGTTTAAGGTTTAGGATTTAAGGTTGAGGGTTTATGGTTTAAGGTTTAGGGTGTAGGGTTTAAGGTTTAAGGTTTAGGGTTCAGGGTTTAGGGTTCATGTAAAAGTAACAAACCCCAATCTTGGATCTCGGACTGCAGGAGGCGACCAACGCCCAACAACACTCACACCCTTTTGCAGGAAGCAGCGCCACAAAACGGAATCTGTTCCACTGTCTTCTTCACATCTCAGACGTCTTGCACTTGAGCCAAACATTTATGGTTCAAGCGATCATCTTTGTCGTGATTGGGCTCATTCCAGCCATACTTTCCAAAAGCATGGCCTTCAAGCGGACTGCATTATCCTGCTACTTGTCGTGTGCTTTCGCACATACAATGAGGGCCGGTCTCTAGACCCACATCTGGAAAAATGAATGTTATCTGTGCAGCTCTTCTTTCTGTGTGTGTCTGCGGCCACTTTCGGACCACGAACTCGGAAAACCAACACACACGCACGCATACTAATGCAGCCAAGCGTAAGATGGCAGGATGCTGAGTTCGGCACCTGACATTCTACACCCCCTTGTGCCGATCACAGCAATCTCGCTTTCACTTTCGTGATGCCGTGGCTGGCGCATCCGCAGCTGCATGTGTCGATCATCACATTCGCGATGTCACAAAAGAAGTGTCTGTGTCGATGGATGGGAAGCCCATAGCCACTGTGCAGTCATCACATTTGTGATTGAGCACGTCGTCTGCACAACACTTGACTGGCCACGTGAACGAAACTGTCTGTCGCCATCGAAGCCAAAAGCTCAGAATTCACACGTCCCATGGCTCTGCACAAGAGTGGATGGAGAACTCACAACAAAATCACTAGATACAGACGCTGCTACCCACGTAAGGGTCGAGCATCACCGAGCAAGGTAGCCAACCGCGGTCTAAGATCCAGATTGACAACCACAGCCCAAACAAGTTCCGCCACTCACACGTGAGTGAAGCATCTCAAAGTTTGCAGACATGCTTCTTCACAGCTGCAAGAAAAACTGACTGCATGACGATCTTACTTACTGAACAAAGCGGTTGAAACTGTGCACTAACGCACCACTAAGCAAAACGACGGCACTGCAACTTGCACGGTTGCATCAACAAGCCAAGAGCATCCAAGCTTCGACTTGACCAGCGCGCACCACTAAGCAAAACGACGACACTGCAACTTGCACGGTTGCATCAACAAGCCAAAAGCATCCAAGCTTCGACTTGACCAGCGCGCACCACTAAGCAAAACGACCACTCTTGTGCAATGCAACCCGGATTAACGCATCCATCGGTCCAGATGGCACGACAAAGCCCAGTGAAGTCCTATGTTTCACGAACTTGCGTGTGTTCAAGCACTTCGTCATCAAATCCGACACGTTGCTATCCCCAGGTCTAAACCTAAGGACAAGTTCACCGCAAGTCACCTTTTGGCGAAGCCACTCCAGTCGCACCTCAATGTGTCTACTTTTGCGTGGGATGTCCACGCCCTTCAACAACTCCAAAGCTGCCGCGGAGTCCGAATCCAACAACACAACCACTGGATCAAGCTCATTCACCTCATGCCATGCGAAATACACGCGAGACACGAGTTTGCTGAATGACACCGATTCTTGCGCTACAGCTTGTATGGTGTAAAGCTCACTTTCACACGAGCTTAAACTAACAGATTGCTGTTGGCGCGAGAGACACTTGATGAGGGAGTTTGCATGCGACAACACACCACCGGTAGCACCACGCCGATTGTTGAAGCGATACGGTGCATGTGAAGCATCAGAAAAGGATTGGATGATTGCCTGGAGCCTCGACTCTCCGTTTGAAAGATCCTCGTCTGACGGCATTTGCAACACAACATGCGCATCCTCATACAAGAACCTCAGAAAAGCCCTGAGGGCAGCTTCAGTGCCCTGCCGGGGTGAGCTTTGCTGCGTTGCAAGGAGAGAAAGATACATCTTGCAATCCTGTCGTGTCTGACTCCACCACAAAAGCTTGCCCAGCGTCTTTCTGAATCTGGCATACGCCTCTTCAGACAACGGTTGCGAGGCCGGATGCTCTTTGTTGTTGGCTCTTTCCAGGTGGATGGCTAAATCAGGAGCTGACGAGGACCCTGATTTGATACCGTATGCCTCGAAGCAAGAGGTCAAATAATCCGCGGGGACAAACACCTCAAGTTGAGATCGCAATGGCCATCTTCTGATGCGACGCCCATTGAAACCTATCTCTCCGCCCCCTTGTGCGGATGGAAGTATGCGACCTGTGACCTTCAACGGCACTCGTGACTCAATCGCCGCAACAATCACTTCTTCGGCTTCGGTAGTATCACATACCAGAATGACGTCGTCTACATACACTAAGAGAATGGCTTTGCCTACAACGCGTTGTTTGGGATCACCTGGCCTAACCACACTACCTGCGTAAAGACACGGCTCACATTCACAAGCCCACAGGCCAGTGGGTTTGATGGCCGACGCCAACTTGTTCAACCACCTCAAGCTTGCATCACGAAGACCGTTGACCGCAACAGCCAACACCAGATACGCCGGAAGCCCGGTTTCTAAGGAGACACTTAATGGCAACTTCAAAATCACCACCTCGGACTCCGGAAGGGGCGAATGCATAAAGGCGTGTTCCACATCTAGCGACAGGCACCGCAAGTCCCTGCTCCCAGCGACGGCTAACAACAAGTTCAATGCTTCTGTTGACGGTGTTGGGCTAGAGAATCCCAACTTTCGCGCAGAGGCCCCCTTATTCAAGTCCTTAGCCACAATGCGCGCTCTCACTCGACTCTGACTTTTAAACGCAGTGACCCACCTGCTTTGGATCACACGAGCATGTGGAGGAAACCGATCCTCGAGCGCCTTTGCTTCAGCTTCATCCACAAGACGCCCTGCGCTGCACTGCTCTAGATGCTCCACTTCAGCACACATCCCTTTGAAGGTGAGGTCCCTATCCAAAAGCTGCAGTGTTGTATCATCCACCGCACTGGTTGGTTTCCAAACCAGAACCGTTCGGCCACCGAGAGTACGCTTAACATGCTCATGTTCACCATGCTCAAACTTGATGGACTCAATGCTTGGATCAAAGAACTCCGGAGCTGTCGCAGGCGCACTCTTTAAACCACTAGGCTCATGAAGAATCTCACACACAGGACTGGCATCTGCAGACCAACAGAGATCGAGCTCCATGACTGTCTCTACCATCCTGTCTGCCCTGCTCTCCTCAATCTCTCTCTCTAATCTCTCAGTCTCCACCTCCGGTCTCCGCTTCTGCCTGAACACACTCTCTCTCTCGACCTCAGTCTCAACCTGCATGTCTTCTGCTGGGGGGACGTTGGATGGTTGCTCAAGGATTTTTCGCTTCTCAGTGGGCAACCTACCTTCAACAGGACTGCTAGAATCGGAAGGTGTGTCAGCTACCGGAACTGGAGATACCGTTGGTTGCATCTGATCGTGTCGACCGTCACGCTCTCTACCGAAGCTTCTTGGAGTCTGAGGAGGAGTCTTACCTACTACACGCCTGAGTGGCTCAGCAGTCCTCAGTTCAAGCCTCGGCTCGAGTGATGGGCCTACCGGATTTGGGAGAACAGGACTCCCCACTTGAGGGGCCACAGGGCCTGGCGCCGCAACGTTATGACCTTCCACAAGTCTTGGGATCTCTGGCTGATTTGGTGATGATGCTGATGGCGTCTCAGCATGTGCAGTCTGTGCATTCATCCGCAAAAAGGCCTCATACCTCCTAGCACATTGCCTGTTGTGCACCTTTCCCTTTCGGCTGCCTTGCTCCTGAAGACCCTTACACGCACTACACCCTTCAGTAAACCCATGTGCTCGAATCCAATCACTCGGAGGTCCAGACACTGGTGCATTCAAACTTGGTCCTTGCCCTACACTGAGTGGCACAGCAACCTCTGCCGGGATTCCAGCAGCTTCTGCTGCAGTCAACGTCTTCATGTGTTCAGGGCAAAACGTTTTGTCCCATTTGGGTGGCATGACGATGCGAATGCTCTTAGCGACAAAACGCTCATTGACCAAAACGTCACCTTTTCGAAACTTCCCAATGACCAGACTCCCTTGAGACGCCCACTGAGGATGGATGAAACATGCTTCAACAAACCGGGGTGAGTTCGGATACTTCTCGTGCATGCTGTCAGGCGTTTCTGCTAGAACCAAGGACAGAAACAAAGAAAACGGAGTTTCTGGTAGGGGCCTTCCAGTAGCGATTTCCTGAGGCGCTTGATTGGCCCCATGGGCTTTTCCAAAACGGTTCTGAGCCATGCAAACATGTGTCACAACATCTTGAAGTGCAGACGCTCCCAGCTTCAAATCAAGGTTGGACCTGTTCATGTCGCTTCTGAGAACCTGAAGGGCCTCCTTCAATGTGCGCACGCATGGTTCCGCATGCCCTACGGCCTCGTGGACCTGTGGTCCAGCCTTCTTGACCAGAAAGTGGAAGTGATCGCTCGCTCTAGAAACGAAGCTGCTTACAGCCGCTTCGCTGTCCGTGACCATGGTGATTGACACTGTACTGCTTGACAAACCGAACTCGTGAAGCCACTTAATCAGACAGCCGCGCGCGGAAGGAAGCTCCACACCATCGATCACAACACAACCTACACACGCAGAGAAAACTTCTTTCAAGGCTAAACATTTCACTGAGCCCGGGGACCTTTCCGATGACACTTGACCTTCGTTTGAAATGAACAAGAAATCAGCTTGAAGCTCTGTGTGCAGACCTTTGCCTGTGCGCTTTCTGTGATGATGCACTCCTCTTGCTTTCTGACAGTCAACACATGCCGGATGAAACGGAACATGACCTTGCAACCTGTGTGCTACCAGATCCTCCTCAGAAAAAGCTTGCACACGCTTCACAGGCGAAAGAGTATCTACTTCCATCTTTTCAAGTTGCGCTTCTGGCTCTGCCAAATCCCCCATGTCTAAAGGCTCTGCTGACTGATCCACCCTCGGACGCAACTGAACCCAAGGACATCCAGCATATGCTGCCGTATCCAGCGCAAACATGCCAGTAGCATCATGTTTCAAGCTAAATCGGCCACTGCTTTGCGAGAAAGTCCAACCACAATTGCATAACGCAGTCGTGCCCAGGATGTTGTGCCTAGTGTTCCCTACAAGAACTGTGAGCTTCGCGGTGAACCATTGTGGTTTCTTTTTGTCTCCACCTAAACGAACATCCACACATACTTCGGCCACATGCGTCATGGGTACGGCGCTCCCGTTCGCCGCTTTGAACCCTGAAGGTGCAGGGCCCACAACTTTGGCATGATACTCGCTCACACTCGCTCTAGACAACACTGTAACCGATGCCCCAGAATCTAACAACCACCACGAATGGTCATCACATGCGACTTCCGTAAGCAAGCCGCACAGCGGGTGACTCGTCATGGCTACACATACAGGCTTCGGGAAACACAAACTTTGAGCAGCGCACTCAAGCTCTCTCTCACTCTCTTCTTCTGTGCCTACACATGCGTCTGTAGAAGCAAGCTTGCCGACATCACACATGTGCGAACCAAGCTCATCCTCACTACTACTCTGCAACACAAGCTCTCCTATGCCACACTTCTGCATAGCATGCATTTCTTCAGACATGAGCTCGCAGAGAAGCAAGCTGGACATCTGCAACGGTGCACTCTGTGATGCTTGCGTGCCCCCACTCTCCGCCAAAGCACTTTGCCCCAGCTGCTGATCCAGATACGGTTCTTGCCAATTGTAGTCCCACTCCTGTGACCACCATTGCCCGTCATCCCCATCGTAGGACACCTCATTCATCTTTCCTTTCTTTCCCTGCTTTCCAGCTTTGCCTTTTCCTTTGCCCTTCTCGTTACTACCTCCTGATTTTCCTGGCTTTCCTTTGCCCCCCTTTCCTTTGGCATCCTTGCCTTGACTTTCCTTGCCCTTGCCTTTTCCTTTGTGCGGGCAGTTCGCGCCGATGTGTCCCATTTCATGACAAGAAAAACACTTGACTTTCTCAAGGTTCGTTGTGCACTTATCGGTTGCATGGGCCTTTCCACACCGATTGCACTTCTCACGAGTTGTGGCGTTCACATCGCTCCACTCTTGACTATCATACCAAGCACTGTCCCAGGATCCCTCATCATCCCAGCGATCCATTGCAAATGTTTGGAGGCCCGGTGAACCTGTAGTTACCGCTGCTACGCCCTTTTGGGGCTTGCCTCCAAGATTCAAATCCAAGAACAACCGCTGTTGCCTTTCAAACTTCAGTGCTGCATTCCTGCATGCCATATACGTGTCACCCACACTGTGATGCAACACATACTGCTTTGCGTTTTCAGGCAAACTTCGCAGGAGAATGACCATGGCATCACCATCCCCAATACTAAGGCCACTGCGGTCAAAAGCTTCAGGAAGCGTACCCAACAACTTCGCAAATTTGGCGAGTTCCAAATCAATCTTGCGAATGACGTCACCCACCTGTGTGGCTACTGACGTATCCGAGGCTCGCAACGCGAAGATGCGATTGATCAACTCCGACCGCATGCTCAAGGCTTCAGCCCGTGATCGCAGGGAGTATTGCTGAGTAAGCTGCCTAAGCAGTTCAAAGCCGCACTGCGTGTTACCACGCGCTCTCACTGGATCCACCGACCCGTCCAACGACACCATCAACTCAGTCCGCCCATGAGTCTGAAATGCCCCACGCAAGATGGCCAACAACCTCGATGACCGAACCTTTTGGTCCGCAGATAGGTTCACTTGCCAAATTGGCTCGGGCCATCTACTCGCCATGTCAATCTCAGAACAGAAAACTGTACTCCCCATACTTGCCCAAGACTGAAGCTGCACCAAGTAGTCCGCAAATCCGGTGACTTCTGCTTCCCGCGACGTCCACTTCTCAACCTCAGGTTGAGGTGGGGGTCCAAGCCAGTAAGATGGCAGGATGCTGAGTTCGGCACCTGACATTCTACAGTTCAGGGTTTAGGGTTTAGGCTTTAAGGTTTAGGGTGTAGGGTTTAAAGTCTAGGGTTTAGGGTTTAGAGGGCTATGCGGCAGGGCCTAGTCATTCAGTTGAACTGCCAGGCTTCCAAGGTTGGTAAATGCAGATTTCTGTCAGGATTCTACAAAGGTTGCTAAGGGTGTGTGTGTGTGTGTGCCCCCAAACCCATGAACAACATCTATAAACCCCCCTGAACCCTAAACTAGACCCGTGAGCTCTCGCCAGGAACTTTGTCAAATCCTGGACGACGACATGAGTGGTACTCTCTCTTTGGATGAGCTTCTACGTGGCTACGACCACCTGCCCGAGTTCAAGGACCGGGAAAGGCATAGCAGAGGGTTTGGTTAGAGTTTAGGGTGTTAGCAGGGATTATGGAGCTCAATTAGGGTTGAGTTTCAGGGTTTGTAGGATTTAGGGTCCGGAGCTCAGAGTTTAGAGTGTAAGGTTTATGTATGTAAAACTTTGGTGGCCGGCTACTGTTACTGTTAGTGTAGTCCGAAGATCTCAAGCTGATACTCGCGTCTACTGTCGGCTGGTAGACGGGTAGAAACAGCCTTCAGCACTGCCGAAGAGAAAGCCAGCGCAGAGCGGAACCGGATAATCACATCCCCAATCCTGAACCCTGAACCGAAACTGCTTCTCTGAGGAGCAGATGCGAAGAATGGATGTGGAACGTGAAGACATGCTGTCCCTGTTCAAATGTCTCGATGCAGACCAGTCCGGTGACATCATGTGCCCGGCACGTAGAACAACTTCCTTTCCAGGAGTTTGGGTTCAGAGTTTGATCTCAAGGTACTGGAGACATTCCCAGAGGCTCCATAATACTACCATTCTGGAATTTGTTCCCAAAAGACCATCCAAAATGGTAGTATTTTGGAGCCTCTAGGATTGCATCGAATACATCGAACCTCATTTTCGAGGGTCCCCTATGTTACTTCTAGGATCGCTACTATAGCCTTGCTTGAGGGAGGATCTAGCAGGAGTCTACTTTCCCCGAAGCCTTTGTAGAATCAGCGCTGGTAAGTCCCTTATAGCACCCATGTAGATTCGAAGTCCTATCAAGGCCTGCTGCAACCCTTAAGACATCGGAACAAAACCCTTGACCTTATATGCTCTTGAAAGCTCGTATAAAAGCTTAAACCACGTAAAACTCTATAAAGCCACATAAAACCATCTAACCCCCTTTCTAAATCCTGCTAGTCCCCGTCTAAAACACTTCTAGAGCCACTTGAGCAAACCTCTCCAACACCCTAAACCCTCAACATCTTCGGGGGTTTACATTTTGGAGGCTTTTTCTTCCAAGCTGGGCTCGGCCTTCCATTTGGGGCAGGGGTGCTTGGGTTTTCTTTCGTTAGGGCGATTTGGGTTGAGGGTTTTGGGATCCCCGAAGGGTCCATGGTTTAGGGTCCCTAAGGTTCCTTTAAGGGTTCCCTTAAGTGTACCATAAGGGTTTAGGGTTTAAGGGTCCATGTACCCAAATACTATAGGCTTTGGCACCGAAGTACCTATATAGGAACTACTTTAATGCCAAAGTATATACTATTTGGGTACATGGACACATGGATCCTTGGGGGATTGTTCGGTTTGGGCGGGCTTGTGGTGTGTGGGGTGTGGTCGGATTTTTTGGGGGGTTTAGCGTCGGGTTTGGGGCTTAGGATGCAGGATGCGGTAGGGTGTGAGATTCAGGTTGGTCTCGTCTTGCGTGAATGACTTGAAGTTTCCGTGTTCAGGGTCCGGGGTGTAGGGTCCATAAGTTCTAGGATCCATACTATTTTGCGCTAGCCTTAGGCCTAAACCCCAAACCCTGAACCCTAAACCCCGAAAGCCTAAGCCCTTCAACCGGGAGCGCCTGAAGCCCAATTACCCTTTCTTTTGAGGACTTAAATAATGAAATTCATAAGAAGGAGCCCCAGAAATGTAGGTTTTCTAAGGTGCTAAAACTGAAGCCCTAGACCCTAAAGCTCTGAACTTGGCTTGAGAAGCAGCCCGCTGCCTCGAGAGGTATGCAGAGTTTGTGGAGCAGGTGGTGAAGATGCGTTCGCAGGACGTGAGCAGGGTTTGCGGCTATCCCAGAATATGCCCTAAATTATAGTAGGATCCCTAATATGGTTTAAGGTATATTCCTCAATTAAGGGGTATTGGAAGGTCTGGGCGTACGGTTTACGGGGTCTTTGTTTCGGAGTTCGTGGTGGTGTTGGTTTTTGGGGATGTCGAGCAACAGCCGCTTCATAGTGTGTTCGTCGGTTTCGGGCCTTAATTAGCCCTGAACCCCGAAGCCTATACCCTAAACCCTGAACCGTAAACCCCATTTGAATAACCCTAAACTGATGGGTTTAGAAGGGGTGCGGATTTGGGGTTTGGACTTGGTTTCCAGGACCCCAAAGTGCCCTGAAATAGAGCGGTCTTGAATAGTGTTTAGGGTCTAGGGTTTAGGATAATGGGATTCCCGTACTATTTCCTTACTATCAGTCTTTAGTGTTTAGGGCTTAGAGTTATTTTAAATCAGGCCTTATTAGAGGCTAGTTGGGGGTCTTTCCTTGGCCTAAACCCTAAAACCCTGAACCAAAAAACCCTAAAGCCCTAAACCCTAAACCCTAAACCCCTAATGCACCTTACACCCTAAACTTTAAAACCCTAAAGCCTTAAACCCCCAAGCCCTAAAACCTTACACCCGGTTCAGGGCTCCGGGAAAGGCAGGGTCAAGTTCATGCTTGTCAAGCCCAACCAGAAATCGCGCACCATTTTAGGGGGTTTAGGGGTTAGGGGTTTAGGGTTTAGGGTTGAGGGTTTAGGGGTTTAGGGGTTTAGGGGTTTAGGGGTTTAGGGTTTAGGGGTTGAGGGTGTAGGGGGTATAGGGTTTAGGGTTTAGCGGTTTAGCGGTTTAGGGTGTAGGGGGTTTAGGGTCTATAGGGTCTAGTGTCCAGTCTCAAGCCGATGGCTGAAGGAATGTGACTGATACTGTTGATGATGTAAATCCTGCATTACCCGTAATAAGGAACATACCATAGTTCCCCATAGTTTAGGGTCCTTAAGGTAATGCAGGATTTAATTATATCATCAACCGTATGGTCTATGTTTGGCAAGTGCTGCTGTTTCGATAGGGAAACTGGACGAATTAGTACTTCTACTATTGGTCGCCTGGTTTTCGTCTCAATACGCATAAGGCCGCTAAGTAGTTCGTTTCTATGGTTTAGATAGAATCCTAAAAGGTAATCCAAGAAAATGAACTAATTACTTAGGGGCCTATGGGTAGCTACTGGTAGTATGATCTTCCCCATTGCTCCGCCCCGAGAACTAGGTGCGTCAAAACAGGCTTGGAGCTCTTTGGGTACAGGACATGCGAGGGTATTCGCAACCCGGCTCCTTGTATTAAAGGGCAATAGGAGGGACCCCTAGAAGGGACCCCTAATTCTAATACCCTAACATAACCCTTATATACCCCTTATAATATAGTCTCATAAAGCCCCTATATAACTCTAAGGGTCCCTTTAAGGGTCTCTCCTTTAGTCCCTTGATTGTAGATGTTGCGTACTTGGGGATCAGGGGACATTGGGTTTAGGGACTTGGTGAGTACGTTTAGGGTACAGGGTTTAGGGGATTATACGATGTTATACGTATAAGGCTATACGCGCGTAAACCCCCGCTTGCAGGAATAACTTTCACCCCCAAGTACTGCGCCCCTGAACCCTAAGCCTTAAACCCGAAAGCCATAAACCCTAAACCCTCAAAGCCCTAAACCCTAAACCCTCAAAGCCCTAAACCCTAAGCCTTAAACCCGAAAGCCATAAACCCTAAACCCTCAAATCCCTAAACCTCAAACCCCCTGATCCCCCAAGTACATCTTGGAATCCCTTGTGCGCACGAGGACGTGACGCTCAGTCTCGTGTTCTTGCGCAGCCAGATCAAGGACAGGGTTTCGGGTTGTAGGGTTTTAGGGCTGTAGGGTTTTAGAGTTTAGGGTTTAGGGTTGTAGGGTTCAGGGTTTAGGGGTTACCTAAACTCGCACAAGTAAGGCACAAACATAGCCCAAGGCCCATAACAGGCAAATTATTCTACGTAATGCCGGGATCCAGGTAGGGTTTGTTTACCCCTAAACCCCTAAACCCCTAAGCCCCTAAACCCTTTAAACCCCCAAACCCCTAAACCCCTAAACCCTGTACCCTAAACCCCTAAACCCTTTAAACCCTAAACCCCTAAACCCCTAGACCCCTAAACCCCTAAACCCCTACCTAAACCCCTAAACCCCTACCTAAACCCCCAAACCCCTAAACCCCTAAAACCCCCAAACCCCTAAACCCCTAAAACCCCTAAACCCCTAAACCCCTAAAACACCCCCCTAACCCCTAAAGCCCTAAAAACCCTAAACCCCTAAACCCTGTACCGTGAATCTGAAACCGAGCCCTTCCCAAGAGTCTTCGACTGTGAAACCTCAGGGGCTTTGCAAACTGGCCCCTATTCTGCCCTCAGGATTTAGGGTTTTTAGGGGTTTAGGGATGTAGGGATGTAGGGGTTTAGGGTTTAGGGGTTTAGGGGTTGAGGTGTTTAGTGATTTGGGGTTTAGGGTTTAGGGGTTTAGGGTTTAGGGATTTCGGGCTTTAGGGTCTGGGGTTTTAGGGGTTTAGGGTTTAGGGTTTGGGGTTGAAGAATTTAGGGATTGCGGGTTGAGGGA